AACACTGAACAGAAAGTACAGAGTTCTCATCTACCTCCTTGATTCTTTTAAAATTCTCTTTCAATCTGATTAATCAAGAAGAAGGTCTTAATTTGGAGCTATTCTAGCTTTAAAACCTCTTCAAGGGCCGGCCGAGTGGCGCGTTGGTTAAGAACTGGCTTGGAACGCCAGAGGACCCCGGTTAGGATCCCACATATGAGGGCCAGTGACACTGCCCTCCACAGCTAAGATGCTGAACAACAGCTCAACCTGGAGCTGGGCTGCCGTGAGCTGGGCTGCCCGTGAGTCACCAGCGACAGTGTAGGCTGCAGCCTCTGCTGCAGTGGGTTGCCATGGGCTACCGTGTGTAGCCAGCAGCCAGCGTGAGCGGCCAGCAGCCAGCGTGAGCGGCCAGCAGCCGCTGTGAGTGGCCGTCCAGAAGCCGGCGACTGATCTGCCTCTGCCAGGAAGAGCACAATGATGGTGCCAACTTGGGCCACTGAAGCAACGTCCTCCACAACTAGACTGAAGAACAAAACGACAGCAACTTGTCTGTTCCCCTTCCCCAATTCCCCAGCGCTGTTCCCATCTCCCAATTCCCCAATAAAAATCTTAAAAAAAACCCCAAAAAAAACCCTCTTCAAAACAAACAAACAAAAAACCTCTGCAATAGTTCATCCTGTTGGACGAGGTGGGGAAGAGAGGAGGAGGGAGAAGAGGGGGAACTCTGTCTCTGAGCTTTTGATAAGCCACATATCAAGTTAGACTTTAAAACAAATATCATTTTGTTTTCAGTGTATTTGTTTATGAAGTTTTCTTCTACTTCCAAAAAGAATGCTCATCTTTTATTTAAGGTTTTGGTGATTAAAAGATTTGTTGCAAAAAGATTTGTTCATAGACAAAAAGTGACTAGATGAAGTCAATGGTAATAAAAGTGGCATTGGGATGACAAAAGCCTGGAAGATTCAGGGTGATGGAATTCTGGCTGAGGTTGCATTCTTACCTGGTGGCAAGTTCCCTCCTGGCCTTTTCGGTGTTGATGGAGGAGTTTTGGGAGAAAAGCCCATCTCTTTTTTTAGAGAATAGATAAGGATCACCTGGGGTTGCAGTGGCCTTATGGCAATCCAGTATGTTGCTTAAATTCTTCCTTCACTGCTCTTGTCTGATCTCTCATTCTCATCTAGTCACATGTTCCTTTTCTTAAAAGCCCCGATGAAGAAGAATTAAAGGAATGCTTCCCTTCAAGAGGGTACCTAATGTGAAAATACCAAATATTTGCCCTTGAATTTGATGAAATAGAAAATGCTCAGTTTTTTTTTTAATAGTGTGTACCCATGACACATCTAAAAATTCTTGGTGTCACACACAGACTTTGAAGAACATTCCTCGAAGAGCGGAATATGTCAGCAAAGGAAATTTCTCTGAAATCCATTTCTTGGATCCGGGTGCAAGGGCCTGAGTATGATGCTAATAAAAAGATTGACGGGGACAGATTTTATTTGCTCCTTTAATTTTCTCTAGGACAGTTCGGTTCACATTTGGGTTCAACCATTTACTAGCTGTGTGACCAAGGGTAAGGCACTTCATTTCTCTGAACTTCAGTGTCTATAGAATGAGAACAGTATTACCATAAGGTTGCATGAGGATTAAATGAAATAGGGTGTGGAATTCCTCAGTCTCATTATTTATCAAGAGTTGCACTGGTATGTTACTGTGGACTAAACTCCAGATTTTATTTTCATTTTAGCAGTTTTCCCACTTATGTCCCTTTTTCTGCTCCAGGCTCCAATTCAGGATACCACACTGAATTTAGTTGTCACATCTCCTTGGTCTTCTCTGGTCTGTGCATTGGGCTGGATACCAAAGCATTAGAGATAAGAGAAAAATGCTCTTATCCTCTTGGAGTGACTCAGCCTAACTACCCTACAGATAAAACCAAGTCAAGGTCAACAGAGATGGACGCTACCCCCTGCCTCCTGCTTCCAGGAGGATCACTTACTCTCTCAGCTGCTTTTCTATATCACTTTGACTTTGCATAAATATTGATTCGAGCCTCTCTCACTGTAATTCCTTCAGCTTCATTTGTACGTGACTGTTTCCTCTGCTGAAGTGGTCTTCATACTCTATGTACCCCTAGGATAGGTCTAGTTCTAGCATAAAAAGCCCCTCTCAATTAATGATTGTGCAAAGAATGAGTAAAGGAATGATTGCAGAACCAGCTGAAAGCAAGAAAGGCTCTGGGGAAATAAGATGTCAAATGTGTGCTGGGTGGTGATGGTTGGGATTGGGGAGGGGGGAGGAGGAAGAAAAGATGGGTGAGGAGGTACTAGAACTGAAAATGGGGAAGGTCACAACTTGGTCTTGACCTACCTCATAATTCTAGCAGGGCTATCTTTGAAGGTGGCCCATTGAAAATGAGCAGGAAAGGAGGGTTTTAAGTCTAGATTGAAATTTGTAGTTCTAGGTGAGTAAAACGTGGAAAATAAGCTGGAACTTTCTTAGCATGTCAAAGTTGTGTTAATTCCAGATGAAAGAGTGAGGCAAAAGATTTCATTATTGTTAAATTATGTGATTATCTTCACTGAAGGAAATGATGCTGCGAGTCTGGATGGATTTTCTGCCCATTTTCTCTTTAATGCAAACTTTGAGACAGAAGAGAGCTGTGTTTGGGAGCCGGGAGCCTGGGAACAGATATGTTCAATTGGATCAGTGTCCATGGAAGAGGCAGGTGCTCTCAGAAAGGACTGTGGGCTTGTTTCAGTGAATATGGACCATCAAGCAGACTGTTGGCTAGAAGCCAAGGCACTCTGTCTGCAGAACTGCAATAGTCCTCGTGGAGGTTGGAAAAGGCCCCAAAGAGTTTTGACTAGCATTTCACTGTGCACCTTGGAGACTGGTTGACCTGGGTGTGAATCCTGGCTCACCGCCCCTCCTTTGTGGTCTTGGACAAATCAACCTCTCAGTCTATTTCCTTGTCTTTAAACGGACAATGCTAAGAATCTTTGAGGGATGTTGTGAGTGTATGATAGGATGCAGATAACATATAGGGCAAAGAACTGGGTAAACTGTAGTTATGATTCAGAGTCCTGGAAGTACAAATTGAGATAATTTACTCTAAACCTCTCTAAATGGCTCTTCTGTAAGATGAGGGCACCAGGCAAGATGATCTGAAATGTTTTGACACTGTATTTTGTTAAGGAGTGAGTGTGACTGGTAGAGTTTAAGATAAGCATGGCATGATTATATGCCCAACTATACTCTTTGTCTTAAGTCCTTGGTCTCAGTTTTGGAATCAGACAGCCTGAGGTCTAACATATAATAGATTCATCTGGGCAAAATTGGGAAAGCCACTTAACTAGGTTGTGTCTGTTTTCTCCTCTGTAAGAACATAGGGATAAAAGGAGCACCTCATTTGTAGCTAGGGGCGTGCTGGGGCTCTTATCTTTGCCAGCTCACAAGAGCCTTTTGTGCACATTTACTTCCAGCAACATGTTCTGTGCGGTCATGTGTATAGCTTGAAGTCCATCAAGGATTTACACCACAAAAATTGGCAATCACTACGAGCCAGGACTTTCTTTCTCCTAGAGAGCCAATTGTTAAGCATTTACCAGTACACAGCTACTTACAGGATTGTTGCAAAGGTTAAATAGGGGATGAATGCAAAGGGCTTACACATTGCCTAGCATGTAAGTATTTACATACATAAGCATAGCTGTATATATGTACTTTTGTCCAATGATTTTTGCTTTCAATTACTTAAAAAATTTTTATTTTTAGAAGGGGACACAATATTTTAAGTCTTTCCAGTTTTTCTGGGATTCACACCACCCCCACCTCCACCCCCACCCTGATAGTAGGAGCAAAATTGGTTTTACCTTGTGATCCTGCCCACTGGCTAGAGTCTTTCCTGAAGGCATAGTCTGGCGGGTCTCTTGAATGGAGGAGATAATGCATGCTTGGGAGTTATTTTCAGGGGCTACTTTCCAACACAAGGACTGGGAGGTAAAGAACTATCTATAGCAACAGAAAGGATGATTCAGATGAAAAGCAGAGACCAGAAATACTCAGCGATATCCTGGGCTTCCCATACCCCTTTCTGTTCACCTTTCTAATCTCACGTATCTCTCTGCCTTTGGATTCTATGAATCAAGTGTTACTTTAAGTGCCTGTAACGGTGCCTGGCACAGAGTAGATGCTCAACAAATATTTGTTGAATGATGAATAGATTTGCTTTTTGCTTTGTTGGTTTTCTCTACTCTATTTTCCAAAGAAGTCTAACAAAACAAATGGATCCACTGCTTTGTCAAAATCTCTGTCATGAATGGCTAGGGGAAAGCTGGTTCTATTCTCCAACTACAGAATCCTAGAGTTCATCTGATGGTGGGTTCAGTGTGAGAAGAAGCCATCTTCCCTGAGCTCGAAATGTCTGTACTATTTTGGCTGAAAATATATAGGTACCAAAATGACTTTCTGGTGTGTGTGTGTGTGTGTGTGTGTGTGTGTGTGTGTGTGTGTGTGTGTGTGTCTGTTTTAATTTATAGAGGAATTTTAGAAAGCCAGTGGGGGAGAAAAAAGTTACACAGTTTTAGGTAATAGAAGAATTTTGTACCACAAATAATGGCTAAATTGAGAAGAGGCCTCTATATATTTGGAATGTAGCAGGGCAATGAAAAATTTATTTGTTTCTTGATCACTATGAAGAATTCCATGTTTGGCGATCTCTGCAAAACCTTCTCAACAACCTTCTATTATTTAGCTGTGCAGGGTCTCTGTTATGAAGGTCATTAAAAACATTGCCTAAGGAATGTCCTCAGAGTAAGTAGAAAGCTAGCTTTAGAGAATGGAAATGGCACAATCTCTGATAATGCAAGAGTTTTAAGCAATTCTGCAGTGAGACTGCAATATGAAATTCAACCTGTAAAGCATGAGAGACCAGCGGAACAGTATACGATTTGCTGGAAATAAAAATACGAACAACTCTTTGCCGTGGTCTTTCAGAATGTTGTAAGTGTATTTTGTCTCTGACATCAGCTTACATCAGTTCTTTAATCTTCATTTCCAACTTTTTAGCATCAGCTCCATAAAATTCAAAAATCTGTTCACAAATACACAAAGGTAAAATATATATTTAAAAATTTTAAGGGTACATTTTATTTACCACAATGTATCCAAAATATTATAATTTCAACATGTAATTGATATAAAATTATTGATGAGATACTTTATGCTTATTATTCTCATATTGAGGCTTCAAAATCTGGCATGTGCTTTATTTGTTGACTAATTTTATTTTCCTCAAAAACATTTTTTCAGTTACAGTTGACATTCAATATTATTTTATATTAGTTTCAGGGGTACAGCACAGTGGTTAGACATTTATATAATGAATGCAGTGATTCCCCCCTGATTAGTCCAGTACCCACCCGGCACCATTCATAATTATCACAATATTATTAACTATATTATCTATGCTGTACTTTATATCTCCATGACTATTTTGTAACTAGCAGTTTGTACTTCTTAATCCTTTCACCTTTTTCACCCAAGGGTGACATGTTTATTGGTTCAAATATTGCAAAGGTGTTGAAGCTTGAGGAGTTTTGTTTCTGCTTGTAAAATTATCCTCTATTTATTTTCATCATCTGCAAGATACTTTAATTATAAATACTCATTAAATGTATTAAATGCGTGATGTTTTCATTGTCTGGCACCTTTTAAAAATTGTTTATGCCAGTGTTTTGCTAGATTTATATAATTCTCCATAATATTCCTCTAAACTAAGATCTAAAATAATTGAAATGTCTTAGAGCTTTCATCCATTGGCACTGAGGGCTTGTTAATTCATGCACAGGATTTTCTCAAGTCAAATGGCTTGTGATTTCCCATTCCCTGACTTTCGTCTAGGTAATAGAATTGCAATAAATGGCTTTTAAGAAGCACATTTTTCTTTTCAAATGTTCACGTCTCTAAATCAGGATGCATTTCCCAGTGGATGGTGTGGTTTTTTTGGGTACACTTTTCAGTAGTATTTGAAGTCACGGTGAATCTGTCAACAGTGACTTACAGTTGATGAACTAGGGAAGTTAAAGACCTTACTATGCGTTACCCCTTTAGTGCCAATTGGAGAGGTAGTTGGAGGAGGAGGAGGAATGTGGGCAAACTGAGGATGGGATTGGCTGAAGACATGCGTTTCCAGTGAGGGAGATTTCAGCAGCCAAAACATGGTGCTGGGACTTTGGGGCAGGGGTTGGAAAAGTGTAGAACTAACATCAATGCTTAGTGTACAGCAGAGAAGCGGCTATCCCCACATCTAAGAGGAGCTCATAGTCTACTGGTAATGATTCTGCCTCCCTAGGTAGCAGCATCCAGCCTGGGTGCTGCCTGTGGGCATCATGGTTCATTCTATTCCTTTAAAGCAAACCTGTCTTGTGACTCTGTCTCGATCACACTTCACTTACCGGCTCGCCCACGAATCCACTTCTATAACAGCAAATTGTTCTTTTGAGTCTTGAGAATAGGGTTACCTAAGTGTGGGTGCAGAATTTCATGATTTATCTGGGTTGTCTGGTTTGTAGCCATCTCCCCTATATATAGTTCTCTTGGCCTTGGCCACCAGGGGAGGAGGGTGTCAGAAAGGACCTGCGAGAGTCTCTCTCTCCTAAGAGTCAGGCGGCAGCTGGATGGTGGCTCTAGGCAGAAAGAGAGTTTCATAATTCTCTGATGCCAGAGCACGTACCAAGACAAGAAGTCCTGGCAAGAACACAGGCAGGGCATGGCCACCTGAATGGCTGGACTTGGCACGGGGAGCAGGAAAAGGACACTGAGCTTAGCTAAGTGACCAGAGTGCCGAGTCATTGCTGGGGAGGCAGGGACCGCGATGAGACAGACATGCTCCACAAGGCTAGAGGCTGAGAGAGTGGGGCATACTTTTAAAATTCTTTTCACTTGGGGGCAGCAGGACTTCCTAGACAGCTCCATCTGGTCTCAAAGGAGCTTCGTCCTTTGTCCCTAACTAATGCTGGGGTGGAATACGGGGTGTGGAGTGTAGTCTTATTGTGTCTTTCCCTATGGGAATAGGAAGGGCAGGCGTCGCTCTGTCTGTAGTGGCACTGTCTGCAGTCCTTCTCTTGTGGCCCCTGTCCTAGATTCCTCCTGAGTCTCTCTCTTCTACTCCTCTGGGTCAGGAGCAGATCGACTCAAGTGAGGGCACATGTAACAGCCAAGCAGAAGACAGACGGGGGCAAGGAAGGGTCGGGGAGCTCCCAAGGTATGTCTGTTCCCCAGGATCACAGCCAAGGAATCCTACACAGTCCCCTGCCCCCTAGTGGTCTGTAAGAAGGTTATATTACCCTTATGGCAATAACTCCAGTGGATCTGTTTATGTTTGCTTATTTGAGGAACTCCCCTACTGCCAAAGGGCAGTGTGGATCCAAAGAGAGTTTGGGGGCCCCTAAAGAGGGGCTTTTCTTCTTGAAGGAGGCTGGCCCTCTTGGAGGAATGGCACAGGCTCTAGGGGTGTAAGACATAGGAGGGTACGGCCCTGAAGGGAGATTTCCAGGGAGGGGTGATTTCCATGACCATGGAGTTACGACATGCCCATGCTGTGACACCAAGGGCAGCCAGAAGCCACAAGTGCGATAAAAGCCTTGGCTGCTGTGAAATCTGACTCCTCTTCCTTCTAGATGCATTGAACCCAGCACAGGCACCATCACCCCACCTGTTACCTGAGCCAGGTGGCATGTTAAAAATTCATATACACTCAAACAACTGCACACATCGTAAGCATACTGTTTGGAGAGTTATTACAAAAGAGAGCACATCTGCATAACCATGTCCAGATCAAGATATAGAGCATTACCAGTGCCCAGACACCTCCTTCCCAATCACGACCCTGTGCCCAAAGGCAACAACTAATCTGGATTTTTCACCATAAACTAGATCGGTCTGTTTTTGAATTTTTATAAATGGAATTCTACAGTATGAATTGTTCTGTGTCTGGCTTCTTTCACTCAACATGATGCTTATGGGGTTTATGCATCTAGGGGCAGTACATTCACTTTTCAGTGTTTTATAGTATTCTATTGCATGACCGTAACACAGTTTATCCATTCTGGCTATGATCACTAGTGATGCTGGGAGCATTCTTTTCGGTATCTTTGTGGGGACACCTTTGGGGGGCATAGGAACACTCATTTCTGTTGGGCTCTGTGGTGTACCTCGAAGAGGATTACCGAGTTCAGCATCAGAAGGAGACACCCAGCAGGGTTTCAAAGCGATTGCATCAATTTAAAACTCACCAGCAGAGGAGGCATGTTCTGGTTGCCCCACATGCTTGACAACACTTGGTACTGCCAATCTCTTCCATGTTAGCCATGCTGGTGGCTCTAGGTGACATTGAATTTGTTACTGAATTCCATGGATTTCCCTTCATCAACTTTCACCTGGACTTTAATAACAGCTCATAATTTTCCCCTCTGTCTCCAGTCTTGTGCCCCTTAAGTCCCCTCTCCTCCTTGAAGCTCAAAAGCACAACTCCGGTTATCCTTCTTTGTAAATGTTTCTCTATAATCATAAAATCCAAGCTTGTTATAAGGATTCCTTGATTTTGCCCTGTCTACGTCTCCTGCCACTCCCTACTACAAACTCTGAGCTCTAGCAACCCTTGCTAGTTGGATTCATTGAACAAATACGAAAGAGTGCCTACTGTGAGCCAGATATATTGTGAACAAGACAGACAAAACCCCCTCATGGAGTTCATAGTCTACTGGTAATTTCATAATTTTATACTGTTTTTGTATTATTACCAAACGATTCCTGACACATACCCAGGCTATTTTATAACTCTTTGCTTCTTCCCATCTTTCTCACTTGCTAATCTTAGCCATCCTCCAAGATTTAGCTCAGGAAGCCTTCCCTGAAGTCTTTCTCTGTGATCTCAGCACTCTCTATTAAAGAGATGGGAGTTGTACCTTGTTTTTCCTCCCTCTTTTTCATATCTAGCCCCAAACCTTACCCTTAGGTGCTAGGTACACTTAGGTGCTCAGCTTTAGGTCGGAAGTAAGTCGAGCACAGCTGATTTCTGGTCCCTGAAGTAGGAGCCCAAGCCTCTGGGGAAAGCTAAGTTTCAGGCACTAGAAGGCACACACTTCTCATACTCACTGCTAACTATTTTATTCTTTTTCTGTCCAGTTTGCCAGAGGCAAATGGTATATGTGTGTCTGCTTATCTAGCACGGGCTTTGCACACAGGGGCTAAAGGAATGCAGTTAATGAAGGAGAAGCAGCTTACTTATAAGAGCTTATTTCATACATAGCTTTTCTCTTTTTGAAGAGCTATATAATATAGGCAAGGCAACTACTATATTCTTTCTGCCCCAAATGTTTTCTCATTTTGACGTGAATGTTTGGCTGTGTCTCTCAAAGGCATGCTCCACTCTGAAGCACTAGAAGGCAATGTTTACTTCTCTCCTCTCAATGCCTACATTTTTCATTTACTGTTGCTGCCCAAGCAATGATTGCTCATGAGAATGATACGCGTCAGTTTGCAGAGGCCTTTGGGATATGGGCTGACTGTGCATAACAGAACCGCGTATGCCCAACAGTCAGTTTCTAAAAAGAACTTGCATTTGGATCTTTTCAAACATACATAAAAATACACTAATAAAGTGAACTTCCCCATTTCCCCATCACCCAGCTGCAACCAGAGGCAATTTTTTATGCCAGAGACTTTCAATCCCCTACACAAAGTCTATTGCTGTTACTGGGAGAATGCAGAGGGGCTGGAGGCAATGGTCCCTTACCTAACAAATGGACTTCTGAGAGTATAAACGAAGGAGTCTGACTAATGATGCACTCATAGAATAACTGGAATAAAATGCCTTGGCCAGCTGATATGCTATTTGGTTGAATGACTACTGAAGTTACGTTTGGACCAGTCGTATGAAAGTTCAACAATTTTTTAGACATCGGTACTGAGCTAAAAACAACAACATCCTCAAAGCCACAGCAACAATAGCAACACAAACAACAAAGCCTGAACAATCAACCAATGTAAGACATTTTGGGGAAACAAGTTGTAGAAATGTTTGTATGTACA